TTAATTTCCTTGCGCAATTTTTTCTTCTCATACTTATCAAATTATGGCTCGCCAGCTATCGGTGCTTCTATTAGTTTTACAAAGAAAATGGTCGTCCATTGACTGTAAAGTTACTTGCCCTTTCTCACCAAATATATTGTAAACCAAAAGATAAATATTAAGGGTCTATACATACAAGTTTACAAATATTTATTAAGAAATGTGGGAAGTCTCTTCAGGCATCGAGGTCAAGATCATGCGGCATTTACTTTTGTAACAGTCTCTTATCACAGTATAATATTGGTCTGACCTCTTTTTCCCATCTCGATCGTGGTATCAGGAGCACTTCGAAGAAGGCAACCCATGTATAGTTGATTTCTTCAAGTATCGATCGGATGACCGGATCAGACATTTCACCGGCATCGAATTATATTCCTTAATAAACTGTATGTGGAACGATTGGTGCATTCGCACATCCCACAGGGCTGCTTTCTTGTCTCTCAATATCCACTTTGTTCAAGACAGTTTAAGCTGGCAAATTGAGGCTTACTCTCTTCTACATGAGTATCCCCTCTGAAGAATTGCTGATGCGTCATGGCCCTTTAACTCTGCTAACTAATTTACCGAACTACTATCAGATTCTAACTCGCTCACTTGATACTCAAATTCTTATCTTTAACCGAAGGTATGAAGACCAAGATGATGTGGCCTTTTATGTGGTCACAGTTTTCTTTTGTTGTATAAAAGTTGTTTGACCTTGTTTTCGTAACTTGGTCATATTGGTAGGAAGACTTAGAGGAGCGCCCTTAGTCCGGAGACCATTGTATGCATCATCATTTCCACAGTAGGACCGTGGACGTGGTACATTCCCAGACGTTTCGACGGCATCGTAGTCGGCATCGTCAGTGAGTCACGCCATTCGTAGCACCATATTACAACTCGTTAAAGAGACAAGTGAAACCCATTCTTTGACCAAAATGTGCTAAACAGTTATGGTATTTCCCCTATTCACATTTCCTATATCCTCCTATCATGCCTTCCCTGTCACAGTTTTTACCGTGCTTACTTTTAATGTAGTGGGGTGTGCTCCTTCGAGCGGCATTCGTGAAAACCCTTCACACTCCACACTGTCGTTATCACCCCCTTCAGCCTTGTGCTGGGAATGTTGACCAGAGTATATCATATTGTTACGTAGTCCCTCCCTGGGTCCTATCAAAGTCTCCCTCTTGCCCCGTAGAATCCGTCTGCTAGCTCCCTGGTACATGTATTTCACTAGACTCCGGCCACCCCATCTGTGCTACTCGAAGGGTAATTCAGCCATCCTCTGCACCTGGGTGAATGATTAGAGGCTAAAGCCTCTGATTAAGTCTTATTGTCATGCCCTTGCTATATGGACCTCTTGTAAAACCTACTGTCAGCCAACTCGCTCCAATCGCTGCCTCGTCTATCCTGTCTCTATATCTAATACCAAGTATATGGCTTGCCATACCCTAGTCGCTTGTGTGCCAACCCACAACTATTGTGGTACTGCTGGCTTTGATTAGGTTTAATGTTGAAACACAACGTTTGTGGGTTGGCACACAAGAGACTAAGGCATAGCAAGTCATAGACTTGATATTATAGATAGAAAGAGGATAGAAACAGTGGAGCTAGAGCTAGTTGGCTAACAATAGTCGTGATTCAAGGATCACGTTTATGATCAAACACGTCTATTTTTAGCCAAATAGCTTTAGCCTCCACCGTGTCTTTCCTATTTCTATATGCAATACCATGCCCATAGCTACCTACGTCCTAGTCAACCTACGCCCTGTGTGCCAACCCACAAATGTTTTGGTTTAACATTGAACCTTATCAAAGCTTGGTATTAGGGATAGAGAGAGGATAGACGAGGCGGCGATTGGAG